AATAAGTCATGAGTTGGAGGACTTTCAATAACAATGATAAAGGGCAAAGAAGATTTTCAGATCTGCCAAATCTGACCCCTGCCAGGGACAGTCAAAGCATGATATTGAGTCACACTGATCCTTTCTTTTCTGGCATGATCAAGAAAATTAAAGAAATATGCAAGTACACAACTTTGTTCCATGTTTACACAATTTATCCACCTAATTCTTCCCACACTGTGCTGGAATTTGGGGCTGTTTCAAACAAGTTTACTGTGGCAAACAGCTTTGTTCTGTGAGAATGAAAAGGAAAAGTGGCCTTCTCATCAGAGTTTCCAGCAGATTCCAAAAGTCTCTAAAGTAAAAAAAGGCAAGCACTCTAGAGTAACACAGCACTCTTAACTGCCTCCCAGAACTGTGACTCTATCTCAATTCAAACTATCTCAGATTTAGAGACCTTTTTCAGGCAACCTTTTAATGCTGTTACTCACTTTATCTTTTTTCACGGTCAATATTTTGACTTTCCAGCAGTATTTTTGGTGATACATTTTTCACTGTGGTGTTTCCAAGTCAAATTAGAAATACTCCAAGCTCCTAGCTCCTCACTAGCCAGAGTCCTCTCTACGCATGACTCCCCACCTGATACCTAGGTCAGTGGCCTAATACCAAGAGCACATGGGGAGCATGCTGCAAACACATCTGTTCTTAGTGCCTGAAGCAACTTTTCAAAGTCTTCAAGTGAAGCTGTAACAGAGAGGAATATTCAGGGGAAACTACACAAGAAAGGACTACAGAATCACAAACCCTGAGGCCTGAGAAGCAACTCAGAGGTTATTATTATTATTATTATTATTATTATTATTATTATTATTTTATTTTATTTTTTGGCAGAACCAGGAGTTGAACTCAGGCCCTTGCGCTTGTCAGGCAAGCACTTATTCTACTGAGTTATCTTCCCAGCACCTTTTTTTTTTTTTTTTTTTAAATTTTAGGGAAGGATCTACAGGGTGTTCAGGGTCACACTACTAGATCCGGCTCATAGTAATCCTCCTGTTTACAGCCTCCCAAGAGTTGGGATTACAGGCACATGCTACCATGCCCAGTCTCAATCACTGTCTCAGCGTGCCCCTGGGGCGGGGCCCGCACTGCAGGCCTGGGGATTGAACTCCCAACCCCTGTGCCTGCTTGCAGGCACTTTAATCCTCTAAGCTATTTGGCCAGCCCCCAGAGATTATTCTTTTGATTTCTGATCTGTGATTAGAATTATCACTACTTCTCCAACAAATAGTCATTTAGCTATTATCCAAACATCTCTGATGACAAGGAACATACTACTGTTCCAAGTATCTTTCTCATACCCCAACTCTAGAATTAGAAGACTTATTCTAACAATTAGCCAAAATCTTCCTTCTCATTAGATTGCTTTTGAAATCTGGATACTGCAATTTCCTGCTCTGTCTATGTTTCTTTTAAGGAACTTGATGGCAGTGTTTGCGTCTTTTTTCTTATCACCTAGAGGGAAAACATGTCCCGCTTATCTTTCCTGACCTCCATGGTCCTACACACTGCGCAGCCAGACCTAGCAAAGATCCAGTGAGTTTATGAAAGAATAAATGAGCCTGACTTGGGATGCATGTCTACACCCCAGCACTTGGCAGCCTGAGGCAGGAAGATCACCAGGAGGGTACCTTGAGTGAGACAGTGAGCTCAAGGTTGCCCTTAATTGCATAGTGAAATTTTGTCTTAAAGAAGAAGCAAAAGGAGAAGGAGGAGGAGGGAGAGGAGGAAGAGGAAGAGGAGGAGGAAGAGGAGGAGGATAATGGATGAGCACCCATCTATCTGATAGATATGGCAGGAGGTGCCCAAGATTCTGTCTAAGTCCCAGAGTCCCCTGATACTACCCAACATGGTGGGCAGGGGTGCTGGGTTACTAAACACAGCAGTGTCCCCATCCCCTGTGGGTGACACTGATCTGCAAGGAAGACCAAGTCCTGAGGCCTGCGTTGAAGCCATCAAGGCCGGAGCGCCTCCTGGCTTCCTCCGTCCAGCAGGGCTTAAACGTTAATGTCCACAAGACTCGGCAGGGCATCTAGTAAGCAGAGCTTCTGTGTGTAAGAAAATAAGGGGAGAGAAAATTCAAGAAAATTTTCCCAATGAAATAGACTATCATTTTTAAAATAAAATTGTGTTTCAAAACAATATCACCATTAGGTCAGCCCTCATGAATCAGAGCACAGAGCAACTCCACCAGCCTGGGAAGAGGAGTTGGATCCTAACTTCATCCCTTACTTAATACAAGATTTTAAGCAAGTCATTTAAGGTCCACATGTCCCCACTCGTATGGCTGTAAAATCCTGGGCAGTAGGGTGTATTAGTACCACTGACAGACAGGATTAAGAGCAGGGTGGGTTACATGGAATAAGCAGGTGTAGTTTCCAGCTACGTGCGGTCTTCACGGCAGCCACATTTTCACAGGCGTGGCCCGACAGGTATAAATGTGCCTGGAAGCGATACCCAAGGATACCCTGGGGACATCTGATAACCTTCCACACTGTCAGTGTCAATGTGGCCCCACAACATCCTGGCAGGATAATCTGATTTAGAAGGGAAAGTGCTGAAGTAATTATCAAGAGACCTGGCTCCCTGTCGCTGGCATCTCAAATTACTCTTCTGGTCCTCATTGCCCTGTTGACCCTGCCACACCTCAGTGTCACCAGCCAGAATCATCGTTCTGAGTGAATTTCAGTCCATAGCATGTTGAGGCACTGGTCCTTACGACAATCGGATGAAGGTCTGCTGGTAAGTAGATGATTAAGTGGCTCAAAATACTTCCCTTCTCTCTTGAAGATTCTTCAAAGGCAGGTGTCTGAGGCCTGGAGTCGCCGGTCTTCCTCTTAATTTTCTTTCTTCTCTTACTTTTCTTTTTCGTCCTTCCTACCTCCTCCTCCCTCTCCTCCTCCTCCTGCTCCCTATCTTCTTCATCCTATTTCTTCCTTCCTCTTCTTCCTCCTCTCCTCCTCCTCTTCTCTTTCTCCTCCTTCTCCTTCTTCTTCTCATCTCTTTCCTTTCTCTGTCTCTCAGACTCTTTCTCTGTCTCTGTCCCTCTCTTTGTCTCTGACTCTTGTGTCTGTCTGTCTGTCTGTCTGTCTGTCTGTCTGTCTGTCTCTTTCCTTCTGTCTCCCCCTCTCTCTCCCTCTCTCTGTCTCATTGCTCCCTGTGTTGCCTTTACAATAAAGGATGCCCATTACATCACATGGCCTCATTATTCTTACTGTTCTGCAGGCCTGATTCAATCTACAGGCTTCCCAGTTCCCATTGTACATTTAGGATCCAATACAATGTCCTTTTCCAACATACCCATTGCCAGAAATAACAAACATGGGATGCAAAACAGAAACTAAAGAAAAGTAGAGCAAGAGTTTGCTTCCACTTCTAGAAAGGGCTCTGCGTATGCCATGTCCCCAGGTTTGTGTCCTGCTGTGACCTGAAGCTTCTCCTTGTGGACTGGGAAGAACTGACCAAAGGCTGAGAGATGTGTGGTGGTGGTAGCAGGTGGCAAGAGCATAAAGGGAATATCCTTGCTCACAGGAGAGAGTTCTGAGAGAGCTTGCAGCAGGAACTTCCCAGGCTGGCCCTCTTGCTTGTGCAGGCAATTGTGCCCTCCCACAGAAGGCGATTTCCCAGTGTCCTCTGCAGCGGTTGCATCAAGAGTCGCCGTCCTTTCAGGGTGCTATCAAGGCAGGGAGGGAGGACGACTGACTTCTGTTACAGCCAGCACACCCGTGACCTGCCACTTTCTTCATATAAAATACGTTGGTCCCTTTATTACATTAAATGTCTCACATTCCATTTTGTCCTCCTAAGTCTGATTCTCAGCTATTTCTTGAATTAATAATGGCTAATTTAATCATGGGAGCTTGATTCTGTTAGACACTCTAAAATCTGACAAATTGCATCTCTTCTTCAAACACTCTAATATTGAGGAAATCGTTGCTCAAGAAGCACAAAAAATGTGATAGCCTTGAAATATAATTCAGTCCATTTATTTAGTATTCTGGAAAAAAAGCCCTCTAAGTATTTGTGAATTTTAAACCATGTTGGAAAGAGTAGGACAGGGAAGACAATACAAAAATTTAAATCATAAATTATTTCATAGTATTGTTTTGCCAAATAAACTCTTCCAAAGCTGGCTGCTTCAGAATAGCAAATGCTGCATCTAGCAAGTCTGTCATCATTTTGAAAAGTCTTCAAAAACCAATTTGATCCCCAGAGTCAAATTCCCCTATTTCAGGAGGTTATGACTTACACAGAGTGCTGTATGTGAAACCTAGACTCAGACGTCTATTAATAAGGCATGCATTTAAGCCGTGTGCTTTAACAGCTCTCAGTAAAGAGGGCTGCAGCAAAGACGACAGGATAGATGTGAAAGTGTCCTTCTGAATTTCAGATATGGTTATGATCTCTGTGACATGTAATGGAGTCCAGCATGGAATAAAGAATGAAGGATTAATACGACATGATCAGGTCAAATTAAAGGCAATGTATCTGAGACCTCGATGTTGAGTCTACACTGGGCCTAATTACCACCTGTAGCTCATGAAGGTAGAGCACAGCCAAAGGTTTAGCTGGGAACCTGGAAATAAGCTACCCAAGTGGGCCAATTAGAGATTAAAATTAGGCAGTGTTCTGCAGAGCATTCACTGTCCCTCTTGGCAGGCTCAGTCCCACCCACCTCAGCCATCAGTACTCACTATTCCTTTCTTTTTTTTTTTTTTTTTTTTTTTTTTTTTTTTTTTTTTTTTTTTCTTTTTCTGTATTTTAGTACAGGTCTACAGGGTCTCACTATGTAGATCGGACTCATAGTGATCCGCCTGTGTTCAGCCTCCCACCAGCTGGGATTACAGGCGCACACCACCACATCCAGTCTCAATTGCTGTCTCAGCGCACCCCAGGAGCGGGACCAGCACAGCAGCCCTGGGACTGAACCCCCAGCCCTCATTTGGTCAGCCCTTGTTACTCACCATTTTTGCAAAGCAGCACAGCCAGAAAGTCTTGAGAAGAAGAGTTGAGGAAGAGCAAGAGGCTGGGCGCCCGGGCTGTCACAAAGCTGAGCGCTATGTTCTCCTTGGACGGGGCTGCATCTGCGTAAATAGCTGAGGAGGACAGGCTCGTGTTCTTGGTCACAGGGTAGGGCTCCTGAAGCACGTAGGTAACAGACATGCCAGCCTCAAACACGGCAGAAACCTCTGCAAGAGAAAAGAGAGAGACCCATCGACGTGGTGACTCAGCTGCTGTAGGTGACCATGACATTGTATGTGTTCTTTCTTGCATACTAGGCCCTACACAAGGGCTTTTACATGACCCCCCTGGGATGTCCACAAGAACAGTTTTGAAATGGTAGCATGAAGTATTCTTACTGACAAGTGAGAAACTTAGGGCTCCCAAACCTCAAACACAGGTTTGCCCTCTGAAGTTTATATTTAGTTTATCATGCACTTGTAGAATGATTCCTATGTGCCAGGCTAATTTTTTTTTTTTTTTTTTTTTGAGGAGTTAAATAAATGTCACTGCCTCCAGCAAAATACGTAGACAAGTTTTACTAGGACCAAGTTAGAGTCAAAACAGGCAGCTGCACACTTCGGGTTTGTATTTGTCTCGTGTTTCCGGAGGCCAGTGGTTGCTAAGCTGCTCTGAATAGGACACGGAGAGGGGACAGATCTCAGTGATACTGGGCTAAATGTGAGGACCAGTGGAAACAGGGTAGAAAGGACTGGTGAAAGGACTGCAGAGGGCACAGGTGTCTAACCCAAGGCTCAATTTGCCAGTGTGCAGGCATGGCTACTGTATCCCAATAGATAGCAGAATTGGCAAAGAACTTCTATAACCAGTGTACTAGACGCTCTGTTAGCACCATACAGCGCTATGAGATTGACAAGCGAGAAAATTCAGCTAACAGAACACTGCCAATGAACAAACCCTCTTTGTAGAATGCTCTTGTTCTGTGATCACACTGGTACCATGGTTGGAGAGTGGCAAGAATTAGCACTAGCTCTTAAGATTTTTTATTTCATACAGGCCGTGTGAACCAGGCCATTCATGAAAGCTACAGGGCCTGTTCTCCCTTATAATGAATGAGATTCCTAACATCTACCTCATCAGTGTCTCTAAGTGGATGAATGAGGTATGAGTACTGTTTAGCGACTGGAGCTCACAGACTCCCTGTGCTGGAAGAGAATTTAAACAAGACCTATCCCAGCTGTCTCCACCCAGCACATCAGCCTGACATCATGTTCGTCCCATACTGGATGGATCAAGGCTACCCTGGAGTTCACTTTAAATTTTATCTCTTTGCTTCTATCAGGCTGTAAAGAAACATTCTTTGTAAAGTAAAATATCTTAGAAGTGGAACCAAACCTCTGCCACAGAAACAGCACAGTAAACAGGATTCTGTACTGACATAATGAATTTTCTGTCACATGCAGAATGTTCTTAATTCCTTGTGAAATCCAGATTGAGTTTGTGGCCCCTAGAACAAAAACAAACTTGGCTTTGCTTCCTAACTCAATTGCAAACTCATTGCACCTTGTGAAAATTCTGTAGCAGTCTGTAATCATGCCAGAAATTAATGTCACATTTGTATGCACATTGCCCAGCAGATTGGGAATACTAGGGCCTTTTTATTAAAGGTTCAGAGCAAATGTTTTACATTTATTATGCGAGTTGTAATATTGGTATTCCTGATTATTAAAATATGCAGCAAACACTTAAGACAGTGACAATTTTGGTTATTCATCAGCTTGATTTAAAAGTTTTCCTTGAATAATTTTCTTCAGGGCAGTTTGGGTTACATTTGGAGTCGCTACGTCCACAATAACAAAGGACTTTCATTTGGTGTTTTTATATGTGCTAAAAAGAAATCTAATTGATAGCGGGCCTACTATGAATGGAATATCAGATATGGCACATCCGCTATATTTCATTTTATTTAGAACAAACATTTTAATATAAATGCATTTATAATTACATAAGCTACACCAAATTTCTCTCATTGTTCTTCCCTTAACCCCAGTTCTAAATATTTTAAATATTTAGATATTGTGTATTTTTATATAAACCTAAGTTCAGTAGTGAACGTAGACTCCGCTATTCTTTCACCTTCTTATGCTTTACATTCTGAAATTAAGTTTCTCATAAAATAAGTTGAGTTCTCTGAATCTTCAGCACTTTAGATGTTTGTCCTATAAATGTGCCTTCACAGTTTCCCTGTCTTCAGCCTGGGGTGGCTTTGCCGTGTCATGTTGCTGCTCTAAAATGAGCTGTTTTTCCCTGAAATACGATTTTTGATGCAGTGCCAGGCCGCTGCTTTGCAAACTTTCCTCCTGCACAATACGAGCAGCACGCAGCAATAAACCTGCTTGTTGTTCTCTGGTTAATCTGTGGAGTTTTGTCCATGTGATTGCGAGGGATGAAATTACACCCCGAAATTACACAGGCTGAAGCTAATTTACAAAAATTCAACTAACCAATAATGAACCAATTAGAAATGTGAGCGAGTGTGTACATTTCATATTAACAACTTATTGTATTTTCCTTATGATAATGTTCTTACACATGCTATTGTATGAGTTCTTACTTTTTGCCAGATTATTTGTCTGTGGTATGATAGTATACACAAAATTTGCATCAATATACAATAAGACAAGGGAGTAAGTGCTGAATATCTTGATGAAACAGAGTGGCCGTGAGTTGGGAGGCGCCAAATCTACACAATAGCTACCTCTGGAGCTCCTTTTATATATATTTTTATCTTCCTTCTTGAGACAGAGTTTCACTGCGTAGCCCGAGCTGGCCTTGAGCTGCCAGAGGCCCTGCTGCCTGCCGCACCTCCGAGTGCTGGAGTTACAGGTATGTGCCACCAGGCCCAGCTCTATGGCGTGTGGGAAACGCGTCTCACTACTGCACCATGCCTTCATTTTCCACAATTAAAAAAAAGAATTGAAGGTATAGAAGGTGCAAGTTAGCAGACATGTAAATATTTAAAGGCTTTAAGTAGATGTGTCTACCATTATTTATGAATGAAATCGGGGAAGAGTGGCTCTTCCTAGCTAGGGCAAGACGCAGCGTGCAGTGAAGCCTTGCACATCAGGAGGGAGCGCTGGTGCTCTGCGCAGGGCTCACTGAGGCCACAGCTAAGCCTCCTGAGAGAGACTCCTGCGTGTTTCACCTTCTGAGGCTGAGGAAGTCAAGGGGCCTTCACGTGGGGCTGCAGGACACGTGACATGCAGGGCAGACTGTAGACAAGCCAGAGTCTGAAGTCAGATCAGCCTGGTGGCAGACCCTCACCATGACTCAATGAGTCGCACTGCCCTGGTGACAGAAAGGGTGAAGGGGTGGAGGCGACTGTACCAAACGGAGCATTATGATGCGAAGCTGCCGGCAAGCCCCCATGATTCAGACCGGAGTGCTACGAGGTGAAGGAAAGAAAAGTCGTGATATGAAAAGCAATGGCCAGCGTCATTTCTGTTATACTAATTACAAAGAAAAGAGATAAGAGAAAATAATTTTAATGAATGGCTATAACTGAAGTGGATTTTAGCATTTCTAGATTTCCAAGGAAGTTTGAAAATATATGATCTAACATTTTTAATGGAATGCTTAAATGCCAAGAATCCTACATTATTCAATTACTGCTGATGGAGGTGCTAAAGACCATGCTACATCAATGGATGGGTGCTAGGGCAAGTGGATTTCCACATGCAAAAGAATCGAGTTGCACCACTACCTGCCTCACAGACAAAACAAAATACACAAACAAAATGCTCAAAATGGACTAAAGCACTATGTGTACGTGTAAGAGCTAACAATTCAAAGCTCTTGGAAGAAATCACCAATATAAATCATATCCTTGGAGTAGGCAATGACTTTTTAGCTAAGACACTAAAAACAGTGAAAGAAAAATCATGGAGAAACTGAACTTCATCAAAATTAAAACAAAATTACAAATATAAATCATATCCTTGGAGTAGGCAATGACTTTTTAGCTAAGACACTAAAAAACAGTGAAATAAAAATCATGGAGAAACTGAACTTCATCAAAATTAAAACAGTTGCACTTTAAAAGATGGTAAAGGAAAGAAAGTACAGAAAATAGAGAAAATTTGTGAATAACTTATGTAATAAAGGTTTTACATTCATATAAGCTATAAAAGCATCTTACAATTGAACAGTAAAAGGGTGAGCAAAATATCTGCAAAAGATTTAAATAAGCATTTCTTCAAAGAAGATGCACAAATGGACAACAAAGATATGAAAATGTATTTGACAGAATTGGTACTAGGTAAGCACAAGTCAAAACCATAGAGTGACACCACTTTCTGGCCAAAGTGCTATCTATTAACAAAAATGCAGGCAAAAATAAGAGTAGATGAGGAATTAGAAAATTGAAACTCTCAAAACCTTCTGGTGGGAATGTAAAATCTAGTGGCCACTTTGCAAATAAATTGGTTGTTCATCAAAAGTAAGATATATTTCTACTTCTAGACAGTCTTCCTTGTAGGGATAGACTCAAAAGAAAAGAAGACATGAGTCCACACAAAAATGTGTCGCATTAATGGCAGGATTGTTAATCATAACCAAAGAAGCAAAATCATTTCCGTGTCCACCAAGTAATAAATGGACGAGAACAAAAGTGGTACATCCACACTATAAAATATTCTTTGGCAATATAATAAATAAAATACTGAAAAATGCCACAACATAGATAATCCTTAACAATATTTTTCTAAGTAGAAAAAAATAAACAAAACAAGGCCACAGTTACATGGTTTCACTTATATGAGAGATTCTCAATAAGCAAACACATAGAAGTAGAAAGTACCTTAATTGTTTCCAGGGTCTCACAGGAGAAGTAAATGGAAGGTGACTACCAATGGACCCAGAGTTTTGATGAAATTTCTCTGATATTAGGTATTAATGACGATGGACAAGTTTGTGAAAATGCTAAAAAGTCACTGGATCATGTACCTTAAAAGGATGAGCTTTACAATAACTCACCACAAAAAAAGAAACAAAAATCTATGTATCTATAAACATGGAATAGTTTTGCCATTCTGTTGAAAAGAATGAAGGTAGAGTAATAAATGAGAAAAGAAACCAAAGACATAAGTTACAGACCTCTGTCTCAGTTATTCTTCTCACACAGCTGGGACAAATACCCAACACCCAAAATGAAGAAAGGAAATGTTTA